GAACTCTCCCTCCAGCGTCTGAACACGATTCTCTCGCCGGGGATTCCCAACGTACACGCTCCGATCTCAGTTTTCTGGAAGATTTTTCCATAAAACAATATTTCTTTGCAGAAATCGAAGAAAGTTCAAAAAAACGATTCATAGACTGTTGAAGCTTTTTTGTTCACTACATTTATACGCTTTCGCCCTTGATGGGAAATCTACCACTCACTGCCCTCCCTTACTGTGAGAGCAGGTGAAGTCTTCACTTTGTGGAGTCATATCGGAGATAGGGACAGGGATAAATCGTAAAGTTCCCACATCATCTTGACTTGCGCTGACTTGTACGTCTTGAAGGCTTTTGGAAAGGATTTGGCGTTAAAGTTGTAGCGGACGCGGTACCATTTCCGGAGCGGAACTTGTAATCCTCTGCTGTTCTACCCTTTCCTTCTTACTAAGATACTACTTTAGTTCTGTTCATTGATACTGTCAAATCAAGAATGGGAGGGCTAGTAACAAGTGAAGTCTTTACCGAACATATGGCTCAGGGATCAGAGTTCCCTGTCTGTACGGAGTCCCTGGAAGAGTAACCCTACCTTACTCCTTCGAAGTCGACAAGATGGCACCAAACTCGCCTGTAGTAACGAAAATTAACAATACACCGACTCGTCCCTAAAAATGTATGAGTAAGAAATAAATTACATTTAAACCACGACGATTCTAGCATGAAGTGGGGTGCGTGGCGCGTTCCAAACCTGGGCTAGTATACTGCTGGGCATTTTGTATTGCAGACGTACTTTGAGACCCCCTCACTCCACACGACGAGCAATTACGACCCCCTCCCCTTCCCCCAATTCTATCAACGATATGGACAGCGCCCGTGAAAGAGAAAAAAAATCAGCTGTCAAGAAATTTTTGTCAGAACCCGCTGGGGATTCCCCAACGTAGGACGTGCTGTGATTGAATTACACCCCACGGTGCGCCACATACTAATAGAAAAGAAAATCAGAAATTTACCGAGGTGGTGCAACCAAAAATGGAGAGAACACTTGTCAATCGGAATAAAAATGCCAGAA